TGATGGCTGTTTCCTCACCAGCCTCTTCTGAAGTGAAGGCTGGTTCATGTGAATCTTAACAGGGTTTTTTATCTGAAAAAGGGAGCAGTGACTGACAAAAGCTCATACCCTGCCACATATTTTGTTAGCCTTTAAGGTGCTGCTGGACTCTTGCTCTTTTCTGTCTACATGATAGATAAGCATAGGGTCAATGGGCAGAGTTTAGGGACTTTTAAAAATGGGAGTAGGGGGTGTTTAAATCCTGTCATGTTTTCCCAGTGATGACACTGGGAACAGGAGAGGTCTGAATTTGAAATTGGGTTCAGGGAAATAAAGATCCTTTTCTTTTTCCCTTCTTCTCCCTGTTCCTTTTTGGGGCTAGGGGGATACCCATTAATTTATTCTTGGCTTTCTTTATCACTCTGTGGCTTGGTAGTTTTGTTTTTGTTTTTGTTAGCCTTTAAGGCTTTTTAGAGAAAGTCATCCACCCTCAGTGTTAATCTCTTTAGAATTGTTTATACTTTTTAAAGACTTTAAAAAAAATAAATTTAAAATACATATTACTTCAGCCTCCTAGATCTTCCAGGTGGAATTGGACCTTCTTAAAAGAGATTTCCACATTTTTTTAAACTCACTTTTGATTGACTTTCTGTATTGAAATTATATTACAGCATGGGCCATTTTGCCCTTGCATATTTGAATGATTTTTGTTTTTAAAATAGTTGTATGTTTACATGTTGATCACATTTTAGACACTGTTTACGCTTGGGTTAAGAGTTGCTTTTCTTTTAGTGGTGCTGGCAGTTTTGCTCAAAGTGGAATTTTGTAGCAGTGTTTCAATTTGGCTCTGGTTCAAAACTCAGACTGTGCAGAACCTAGAAGTTTTTGCTGTGTGTCTGAAAAGATTATTTGACAAAGCATGTATATACAAAAGCTTGATGACATCATCACACATTTCAACATTTAAAAAACCCTTGGAACAACCAGAATACAGTAATGTCAGCAGACTTTGGTACATCTTAAATCTGGGGGAGGGGAACATAAGAACATAAGAGAAGCCAATGTTGGATCAGGCTAATGGCCCATCCAGTCCAACACTCTGTCACACAGTGGCCAAAAATACGAGGTGCCATCAGGAGGTCCATCAGTGGGGCCAGGACACTAGAAGCCCTTCCACTGTTGTCCCCCCCCCCACAAGCACCAAGAATACAGTGTATCACTTGCCCCAGACTGATAGTTCTTATCTATGCCTTGTGGCTAATAGCCACTGATGGAACTTTAGCAGACTTACTGGCGGAGAGTTCCGGTCCATTAAGTCTTATTTAGAGCAGAATCTTGTTGCTTCACTCATCTCAGTCTCTCTCCTTGTTGCCATGACACATGGAAGACAAAACATTCATTGTATTTTGAAATCAGTTGTTAGTCTTGAATTTGAATGTAATGCAATTTTACACCTACCCTATCAACTTGATGTAGTTAAGTCCCCCATTTATTATTATGTTCTCTACCTTAGCTGCATTGCCATGAGGTTGGGGGAGGAATAATTGTGTGCCTGTTAGAATTAGCTAGGCAATTGACCAGCTGGGTATTGTCACTTAACTGTCGATTTGACATGGTCAACTATTCTGTGAAGTTAAGTGCACTATTATATAGGGGGCTGGTTTAACTCTTATTTCATTATGGCGTCACCAAGGGAAGGAGTTGCAGAAGCTGGTGACAAATGTAGCTGCTTAGTAAAGCTTCTCCTTCTGCTACCTGTCATAAGTGTAGATCTATACAAACCACTACACCAAACTGATAGGTCAACAGTGACATGAAGTCTAGGACTACACAGATAGCTTCACTTTTTTACAGTTATGACTGCAAATTGACTCTGGTACCAATAAACACCAGAGACAAGGCATTTTTTTTACATTTGTAGGAACCTTACCTAGTATTTAGAATTGTAATAATTTATTACAATGTTTTAAAAATTAGTTTCACTGTTTCACAATAAGTTAACTTATTTATGCATTTAAATTTCATATGTTTCACTTGATTATATATTTAAATTTCGTATAAATATTTCCCTTGATTATATGGTTTAAACCAGCATGGTGTGGTGGTTAGAGTGTTGGACTAGGCCAGGTTTCTGGGTAACTTAGGTCCATTCGCTCTCTCCAAGTCTGTCCTGCATCATGGGGCTGTTGTGAGGGTAAAACAGAGGAGGGGAAAATGATGTAAGTTGCTTTGAGTCCTCATTGGGGAGCTAGGCAAGGTATGAATGAATTTGATAAATATTTTTTTGTGCTCCTTGATCATTTTTGACAACAGTTGAATGGTTATCAAATATTGGTCATTTTGGGACTGATCAAACGCCCGTTCCTGGTCTTGATTACTATTTAAGGGGCAGAAATGATGATCTACCTATGTAGACGTAGCATCGTCATGGTATTTTGACAGCCATGAAAGCAGATTCTCTGCTGCAGTTTGTGCTGTTTGTTCAGCTGATGGTATCAAAAGATGAACTTGCCAACTTCAGGGCTTTCTGTGGCTGTGTATTGTGGGTGAGGGTATTGAAACTTTATTCTGACTTGCATAAAGTGAACCAGCTTTTTGTTTTTCTTGCAATTTTTAAAGTACCTCTATCTTCCTATTTTCAGAAATCAGATGTCAGCCATTCATGTGTTAAACATTCTAATGTTCATACCCAGATTTCTGCATACTTAAAAAATTCAGGGGCTAAAACTGCACTGGGACCTTATTTATCTAAATATTACTTTGTGGTATCTTCCCACCAGTCCTGGTAATGTGATGGTAAATGATGGATGTCCTATTTTCAGTATCTGCATTACTAACTCACATTCAAGCTTGTACTGCAACTACCATGTCACAATTGCCAGCTATTTTAACACTCTACTGTAGCTGTGCCAAGTCCAATTAAATATTTTATGATTAAGCATCAGAAACTTTCTTGCCTAGAAAAAGACATGGCACTTGTGTGTTGTCCAGTGAAAATAAAAAAAACTGAATAGGCCAACTGTTCTTGTTTAAAGGTGCCTGACCTCTTGAAAATTATCCTTCATGCCAAGTTGAGAAGTATCACTTAAAATAGGAATCTGTGCTCTGTTTCAATACTTACCTTGTAATATAAGTATTGAGGAATCAAGCAGAAAATATGATTGACAAATACAGGGGTGACTTAGATCTTGTAACTAATTAATGAGTTGAGAACTGGTAATTGGCTTTTTCTCAAAGAAGAATGGTAGCTCTTGTTCTATTCTTTGCAAGCAGATCTAGGCTTGGCATATCGCACTTGAATGACTAATGCACAATAGGCTTTCATTTGGCTAGCATGTTCTCCAGTTGGTCAGTATCTGTTTCACTCTGAGGTCGCTATTTAGAGCCTTAACTCCTTGTGTCTCTGCTGTTCCCACCCATGGGGTTTTCTAGGTCTCCAGCACTGCAGGTGCTTTTCAGCAGTGACTCTTTGAACAGCTGCAGAAATAACTTTTAGAGAATTTTGCAGTGTCCAGCATGTATCAGTTCCAAGGAGACTCTGGATTAAAAGGCTGTATTGCCATAGAGCAAGTACCTGTCTTTCCAATGCTTCCCCCCCCCCATTTTTTTGAGGTTTACAAGTGCCAACCACACTGAAGTGACAAGCCATAATTATATTAAAGTTGAATGTTCCTCTGAGTCTGACCTGAGAATTAAAAAATGAAAGATTATAGCACAATAGAGCATGTATAGACAAGAAACTGTTCATTTTAGTAGAATGTTAACGGAGATTTGCAGAAATTTCATTTAGGGCCACTTAACCCTGCAAGCTTACATAAGTCCTGTGCTTGGCTTGCTTGCTTCTGTGAGTTTATTTCATCCCCTGCCTAATTTACCTTCTCAGTATCCATCAAAAATCTGGTAGGATTGTGTAAAGAAAACAATGTTGTGGTGAGTGTTCTCTCTTCGTGTGTATGTGTCCATCTTCTTGCTGTTGGAAAGGTGGAAGACTTAGCCTCTACTCTGTAAAGCAGGTGTGCTGAGGGCAGAGCATGTGAGGACTGGTCTTAGTTCCCCCACCCCACCCCTGGCATGATGTAAATGAAAGGTTCAACTTTAAAAAAAAAATGCTATTTGTAGTAGTTTTAGGGGACTGGACCCTACTCCTATGACCTGTGTGTAAGCTTTCAGTGAAAATCACATAGCTAGAGAAGTGGTGATTGTTTTCTGACATGTTTTTTCTGAGAGCAATGGAATAAATGTAACTTGTTTTGAGATGGGGAAGAGCATCTTTATTGCACTGTACAAGAAAAATACTAAGTAAAATTGTAGAATTCAGCTTATAAATATCTTTTTAATTTTTATTTCTGGCATACTTGTGCTAGGATGTTTTTAATGTAGTATGCTCAGATTCAGATTCTACATTCATATGCTTGCAAGGAACAGAACCCAAGTTCTTTTTGATTGGTTTTAAAGAATCTTTGCAGGAGTAAGCCACAGGAAAGACATACACTAATCTGCTGGTTGCACAATTCTTACAGAATGTATGCAATATTGCTGGAACTTCTTTGACTATGAAGTTTTCGCTTTTGCCAGTGATGTTACTACTTTTGTAAGCCAAGATAGTTCTGCCAGAATACAGTTCCTATTCCAGTCAAACACCTTCTATGTATCTAGCTGCTAGTATTGCTCAGTGGAATTGGGTTCTTTCAGTGTGTGTGTGTGTGTGTGTGTGTGTGTGTGTGTGTGTGTGTGTATAATAACATCCTATCTGCTGTTCAGATGAGACCATTGAATACAGTCCAAGATGGTCCTGCAGCATATCTTTGTGATGCAGACATTGTACCATAATCTCCCACTTCTAGAAGCTTTTTGTCTTGGCTGCAATTAAGAATAGATACGTTAGAACAGAAACCAGTATTATAGTAATGTTTTGTTCTAGTTTTATCATCCTCCATTTCCTCCTCCTAGACTTCTGTGGTGAATGAAATTTGAAATGTTTTATTTGGCAGCTTTTAACCACTGGTATATATTTATTTTAGTTTTTATGCAGATTTTGGTCCTCTCAACTTGGCCATGCTTTATCGATACTGCTGTAAATTAAACAAGAAACTAAAGGTAAGCTGATTTTGTTGTCTCTTAAATTATAGGTTTGTAGTATGAACATGTCATAGACTTCAACATACTGCAATATCAAATGAGTAGTCATATTATGATTAACTGCAAGCTTTAGAATTTAAACACTGACAGTTTGGGCCTGTTTCTTCCGCATCCCAGAACTGAAAACCGATTCCCCATGTTTGTAGCTAAATCACAAAGGATTTCTTCATGTGATACAGTGGTGAATTGTAATAAAAAGGAAAGTAGGGAAACTGAGAGCAGAGAGATTCTGAATGGAAATGTAGAACATAGATTACCTTGTTTGACTGAAGCAAGGGCCCATCTGGCTTGGTATTCTGTCTCTAACAATTGTCAGTCTTAAAGAAACTGATAAGCCGGGCTTGATGTAGAGTGCTATACATTGTTCGTGCACCACAACTGGTAATTATCAATATACTGCCTCTTAACATGAAATAGCATTTTTGGACTGTCATGACAAATAGGTGTAGTATCGGTCTAATACTTTTCTAAAGCTGTTGTACTATATGTGGCAATGAACTGCTGAATGTATTTTATATAATTGCTGCTTTTGAAAAATTAAAAAGCTTAATGCTCTGATTTATTTTTCCTGTAGAGTATACTAGTGATGCTATTTCTGTCATAAGAACTAAAATGGCCTCTGATGACACATGCTGCAGACCCCTGAAGTTAAATTAGTAGTATTTCTAGTTACTGCTGTCCATGAGTCACAACCCCAATTGCTTAGATTTCAATATACTTTGTTTTTGTGATATCAGTAGGAATAACCCCTTTATTACATTACAAGGTTTCTGGAGCACTGTTGATAAGATACAATAAATTACTTCCTTTGGGATACATTTATATTCAGCGTTCTACATTTCAAATTTCATAGCTAATCTGTTTCTCAAATAATTTAGTTTCACCATAACTACATACTAGTATTGCATACTTCGCTATCACTGCATACTCACTATACCTTTTGGCAAATAGGTGGTATAACATACAAAGGGGAAAATAATTATGCATCATATAATAGAAAGTAGATATTTTGAAGCTGTCCTGTAGAAGAAATGACATCAAAGTTGTAATTCAAGCATGTGATTGATTGTCTGAGGAATACCTAACACATAAAGTCACAGGAAGAATCTCACTTGTTAATGTCTTCACTGTTCAAGAAAAGTTCTGTTGGATGGCTTTGCACAGATACAGTAGTGGTGGTGGTGGAAAGTGCCATCAAGTCACAGCTGACCTATGGCTACCCTATAAGGTTTTCGAGGCAAGAGACATGCAGGGGTGGTTTGCCATTGCCTGCCTTTGTGTCACATCCCTGGTATTCCTTGGAGGTCTTCCATCCAAATCCTGGCCAGGGCCAACCCTTCTTAACTTCTAAGATCTGATGAGATCGGGCTAGTCTGGGCGATCCAGATCAGGGTAGGCTGCAAAATATCTGTAGTTGCCATCACCACCACAAAGTGGGCCTCAGATTGTGCTTTGATTTATGTTCGGTGATTCTTGTTCTGAGCTTCACCGCATTTATGCTTAAGCTGCTGCCAACTTGTTATATCATACTAAGCTCCTCAGCAAATAAGGATCTGAATGGGCTCTTCTAGGTGTAAGGGGATGACTTGGAGCGGGAACCATCATATCAACCCATGTGAGTTATCTCAGAGTTCCGAAGATCAGCTTTAATAGCAGCAGCAGTCCTCTTGTCAAGAAACCAAAATGGCCCATCAGTTTCCCTAGGTGCAGACTTATTGTAATTGTTTCACATGTACCTCTCTAGAGGTTTCAAGTTATCATGTCTAAACTTCATCCCGGTAATTTGCTGTATCTAGGACTAGGGAGTCAATCATCCCACTAACCCATCATATGACATCTGGCCAAACTGAACATATAAACTTTTTGGTACTACCCCATGGTAGTTGTAGCAGCTGTGATTCTAAGATATTTATTTATTATAAGTGATATGCCACTTATGTAGGCCTTAATCTATACAATAGAATATCTCATTCATAACATAGGGGAAAATTCCCGAACAAGCCATTCTTTAAGCAGTCTGTTTCAATCACAAAAAAATGTCAACAAGGTCCAAAGTCCATGATATATCAAAGAAGTCCAACATGGTTTCTGGATATAATCAGTACATACGTTTCAAGGTTCCTTTTTCAAGAAAATATATAGTCTGCAAAAATTAATAAACAAGTCTTCTATATCACATAACATTCAACCCATAAACTATCCAAACTGCAAACGTTATTTCTAGCTTACTATATCCACTGGTTAGTTTCATAACACTTTATCTTTGGGCATGTTTATTCAAAAAGAAGGGCTATTTTTCTGGTATCAGTATTTGATGTGCTGAAACTTATGCCTTAATAAAACTAATTAATGCTCCCTTAACATTTCTCTCTTAAAACAGTCATTCAGTCTATCAAGGAAGAAAATAGTGCATTACACCAGCTTTGATCAACGGAAACGAGCAAATGCAGCATTTTTGATAGGTGCATATTCAGTAAGTATTGCTGTGTGTTTCTCAGCCTAAACCTGCTGACTTCATCTTCTGTACTGTAAATACTAGAATGTCTTTCTGCTGTTGTCCTGAACTTCACACTTAAAAGTCAGAGAATGGTTGTTCTCGCCATCCTGATCAGATTTGCCCCCTCTGGCCTCAAAGTCTGAATTGAGAAGAGCCAGGACAAGTAGTGCTCTTTGCTTATATCCTGTATTCATACGGTATTACTGTAGCTGCTCTTGTGGCTTAAGAATCCCATCACTGCCTTCTCTGAATCTATACCAGGTGCCTGCAGCGAATTGGTCCTTTTGGTAATTATTATACTTCTGTAGGAAGATGAGATCTGGCTAGCCTGATCTCATCTGCTCTTGGAAGATAACCAGCGTCAGCCCTGGTTAGTATTTGGATGGGAGACCGCTGAGAAAGTCCACGGTCATGACGCAGAGGCAGGCAATGGCAAACCACCTCTGAACCTCTCTTGCTTGGCAAACCCTACAGGGTCACCATAAGTCGGCTGTGACTTGACGGCATTTTCCAACTCCAGGAAGATAAATACTGAATGTACTACCAATGTCTTTCTACTTTAGCCAGTGGGAGAAATAAATGGAGATTGCCCAACCACCTTAGTAGACTTTCAGGTGTCAGGAAGACAAAACTGGTGAGGCAAGAGTGACTAGTATATGGCCATGAATTTGGGATTTACAAAGCAAAAGCACCAGTGGACCTTCTACTCCAGCATCATGTTTCACACAGTGGAAGGTCAACAAACAAGACAGTAGAGGCTAAGGCCTTCACCTGATGTTGTCTCCTAACATGGGTATTTAGAGTTTTACTGCTTGTGGATGTGGAGGTTCCCTTTAGTCGTCATGGCTAGCAGCCATTCATTCCATGAATCTGTCTAATTCCCTTTTAAAGCAATCAATGGTAAAGTATTTATATAGACTGCACTAAAGCTGCAGAACTGTCTGCAAACACTTGGCTAACTAAGAGGCTAATGTTATGATTGAAATATACATGAGAGAGATCTTTGCCATTATGTTCCATTCATCTAAGTAGTATTACAAGGTAAATGTTTGAAGGTTTCTAGTGGCTGCACTTAAAAACTCATCTTGTTGTCATTAAAAGTCAATAAATCACTTCTAGAATTTCTGTTGTTCAGAAATGGCTCTCCTGTGTATAGAAGCTGTATGGAAACATCTGTGCCAAAACAGAATATCTGTGCAGAGTAAACTGAGATGATCATCAACACTACTTGTGGAATATGAACCACAGCTTCTACAAGTAGCTAATACATCTTAGTCTTCTTGTGTGTAGTAATGGAAACCAACTGGCCCCCTATGGAGCAACAAAGCAAGATGGAAACACAGAACTTTTCCAGGTTCAGAAAACATACCCTACCGTCATCTGTGTGCTTTTATTTGAGCATTATTATAATTGGAAAGGTATGTTTCCAGTCTGAATTGCTGAGAAAACAGCACATAGTAACTTAGGTGTCAGCCAAATTGCCACAAATTATTAATGATCTTTGGGGAATTATGATTTTACATGAGGCAATAGGCAAATAAGGGAGCAAGCACCTATGTATACAGGGGTCCCACTTCTTCCCGAATCACCAGAAATAGACTCAAAGGCTGGCTTCAGAATAAAATGGTCTTGTTTACTGAAGATATTTCACAAGCATACAGCAATTCAAACACACAATTACACAGATCTAGGAAAATTAGATAGAAAGGGATAGTCACAATCGCATTAGCAGGATGTTACGTTGAGGGGTAATACTTTACTTGTCCTCGGCGGGATGAAACGAACCTTGGAAAAAATGAAGGAGACTATGGGGTATAAGTGTCATGTCCTGAGCCAGCAGAAACACGTGGAGACTCTGGCAGCGCTAACCAAGAGTCGTGGAAGTGGGGTGGGTGTAGAGGTCAGGAGAGAGAGAGAGCACATGGCTGGGTGCCCTCTTTTATGAGGGGGCTTGGGAGTTGGGCTAAGCTGGCCACATCCCCTGGCACACCTCCTGTTGGTCCGTCCCCAAAGCATGCTGATTGGACCTGGGTTCAGGGAGAAGGGTCTAAGGGAGTGGACAATGTTGAGATCTAGTAATTCTGGGCAGGGCAATGGCACCTGGAGGGATGATGACTCATGCGGCCAGAGTCATTGTCATTGATATTCCTTGATTGTCTCATGGCTGTAGATTCAGCTAGGTGAGGCTGTGGGGGGGGAGGGGAATGCTGCCTGCACGTGCAAGGAAGAAGCTCTACATGGCATTTGGATTCCATGTCTCTGGTCTTCTGCCTTGGTTTTCTGTGCTACATGTGGCTAGGGAGCTGGTCCATCTTACAGCAGGTAAGAGGGCAGGTAACCTCAGGAACCGTAGGCACATCATCTCAAAGGAAGGCTTCCCTCTTCTGGGTGTGTGTCTGTAACTGGCATCACTCGGGTCACCACACAGTTCGGTCCCTTTTGCACACTACTTGCACAGTCCAGTTTTTATCACTTATGAACAATGTCCATAAGAGCGCTATAAACGCCTTATAGGGCAACATAGGAACAGTATTTACGTAGAAATTAATTGACAGTGAAAGAATGATGTAACCCAGGATTATCATGCAGAAGATGCAGTCAAGGGTCTTAAATGCAATGCCTTCCTTGGAATATCATGCTTCAATGCCCTTGTAAAATTGTAGAAATACTAGCATGTTTGCTAGAGTTGTGCTGGCATTGCTGTAAATTTGCTTCATTCTAATTACTTGTGCAAAAAGTTTTAAAGAGCTCTAGATGAGTGTTTTGACACTTGCAGTGTAATAGAATGCCTTGTGAATAGTATTCGCACAGTAAATGGTAAAATGCTATTATAATGAAACTAAAGCACTATGGGCACATACTGTAATGTGTCAAGTCTACACACAGTGAGAACCACAAGACAGCCTTGTATTCATATAGTGAATGCATTGTTCAGAGGGTAGAAGGAGTAGCCATGCTAGTCTGGTTACCTGGTGAACTAATAACATCAAAGGGTCCTGTGGCACCTTAAAAACACAACCTTTATTATGGGATAAGCTTTTGTGGGCCAAAACCTGCTTCATCTGGTGCATGCAGTGATTACCTAAGTAGGCTATTACATATAACCAGAGTACACGGGGAGGAAAGAATATGTGTACACAGTGAAGCCCAAAGGTCAAGTAATACGATAGACAGAACTAGGTGTATTGTACAGTATCAGGGAGATACAAAGGAATTATGTAATCAAATTAAAAGATTCAGTCCTTGTGAGAGTATCTACTCCTGAGTAATGGTTTCTGGTGACAAATACGAACAGCAAGGTCAATAATAGTAATATCCAAGCTATTATGGCCTTTGGCCTCATGCGGTAAAATTCTGCCTACCTACCTGATATCCAAGAAATAATGGCTTTCCATTGTGAGCCTCCTATTCCAATAATTTTCTGAGGTTCAGTTCCAGAGTACCAAATTGTTAATTTATTATTTATTATTTAATTAAATTTAACTTGTTAGGCTGCCCTTCCCTGCAAGCAGGGCTCAGGGCGGCGTACATCAGACCAAACACAATAATAATCCAATTAAATAACATTAAAACTGCTAAAAACAATATATTACTCAAGCAATACTTTACATTGTCAAGTTGAGAAGAATTTGTTCCCGCCAACCCCCTCGGTGCAGGGGGTGTGGAGGGCTGAGTAGGAGGGTATGAGAGTGCCAACATTTTGATCGGTGTATGTATGGTGATATAAAGGTCTGCTGCAGAGTATCTTGGGAATTTGAAACAGGCTTACCTGTTTGATGTCTCTAAAGTGGATTTTAGCACATGGTGTCATTATGAGTTCCTTGTCAGTTATAGCCCTGCTCTCTTCCCAGAGAGGAGCTGCAGTGGCTCAAGTGGTTAAGACGCTGAACTGCAGGCTGTGGAAGGTCAGTAGTTCAGCAGTTCGAGACCCGGGTGCCGCATGACAGATTGAGCTCCCATCTCTAGTTCCAGCTCCTGCCAACCTAGCAGTTCGAAAGCAAGAAATTGCAAGTAGATAAATAGGTGCCGCTTCGGTGGGAAGGTAACAGCGTTCCGTGCGCCTTGGTGTTTAGTCATGCTGGCCACATGACCACGGAAACGTCTTTGGACAGCGCTGGCTCTTCGGCTTTGAAACGGAGATGAGCACCGCAACCCTAGAGTCGGATTCGCCTGGCTTTCGAGCAAGGGAACCTTTACTTTTACCTCCCAAAGAAGGTCAGGGGATCTCGCCAGATTGAAATGTGCTTGCCAGTGACCTCCTAGTTGAATGCATTTTGTGGGCCCAGATGGCAGTGCGTAGCATGAAATGAGCAAATGAATGATCTCTTGGTGGCATAATGGATAGTGTTGATCCCATGATAGTATTACTCAAAGAGATATGGATATAGAGTTGTGTTAGAGGGATTCTTAGATTCGAGATCGATGGTCGTTTTGCAAGCACGAGAGTCACATTAGTTAAAACAAAATATCTTTACTACAGAACAAAACATGGGTAGGGTAACTTTGGATAAAAGAAATAAAACACAAGATTACATGCTTAAAGTTACTTTTCAGCTCTACTTTGCTAACGGCTACATCTTCCTATCTACCCAGCGGTCAGAAGAGAGATGCTTCCTGTGCTGCTTCATACAAAGGGCCATAAACATTGTGAATACATGAATGCTAGATCAAAGCATTTCCACAAACAAGTTGTTAACTGAAGGCTACAGGTCACTTCATTAGGCTAAGTACTCCCTCAAACTTTCCCGCCATGGAATACATTATGTAACACAACATCCTGTTTCCCGACAAAACAACACTTAACTCTGTAATGACTGAATTGTAGCAACTTGAAACTCTTAACAAGTTGTCATGGGTGTTTGTGGGTAAGTTTGTTTCACTGTTGTGGTCCAGTATTGCTTTTGAGTAGTTGCTTCAGATTGGAGGACTGTCTGTAAGCAAGGTCTCTGAAAAGGAAAGACTTATTTTCAGAATAGGGTGTAAACATTTTATTTCATAGCAAAAAGGTTTGAGCTGAAGTCTTAGATTAGTGGTGATCTTTTAGCTTTCTCTGACTTCATAGTGTGAGCATGGTTTTTTTAAATGCCTGATGTAAATCTCCCAGGTGTTGATCATCGTTGGAAGGACATCAACAAATGGGATGGCCTATAGACAGAGGATTATGTGGTTTGTTCTGGATGGTAGTGTGAAGCATTTGGTGTATACGCATTGGTCAGTTGTCTTACACAGTGCAGATGTAGTTGTACTGTGGTATTTATAATGTATGGAATTTTTCAGATGAGTACTAAAATGTTGGTAACTGAAGTCCTGCTTTAATTTCCCAAGAACTTCCCTCCTGTGAGTCCAGACGGTGGTGATGTCACTGGTGTATCATTGGGGGGGGGATATGTTAGAGATAAGGAAGCATATTGTGGAGCTGTGTGGGTATTGTCAATCTGTACATACAAACATTCTTGATGACATGTACTCCATTTTTATGTGGGGTAGTAGTGTATAGAACTTCTATACCCATGATTACGAGAATAATCTGTGGGCTGTGACTTCAGAAAATCTGCTTTATTTCACAGATAACTATGTTTGGTGGCATAAGACTTTTGCATAGAACCAGTAACCTCTTTATGAGAGTAGAAGAGAATGAGGCATCCAGAATTATCTAGTTTGTGAATCTGGGGTTAAAAATAGACATGTGTCTGCATAGATTTGTTTCAGTGTTTGTTTTTGAGAGCTTCTTCAGCCGGTCACATAGCATCATTTGGTATTCCTCACTGGAATCCAAGAAATTGTTTGTTTTACCAACTATAATGTTGGAACTATTTCTGAATCTGTGAATTATGTTTATTTTCTACATGGCTGAGATTATAACTGGTGTTACTTGCCAAGAATCTCAGTTTGAGCATGATGCAAAAAGGCCAGTTTGATACTGCAGCCATAGGGAGAATCCATGCAGAAGCCTTGCAAAGTCCTGTGAGGATAGTTGCTGTATATCAGTGTTGTGACAGAAGAAATAAGTATTGGATCACTGCAGAATTATTTTGGGTGTGATGTGAGAGGCAGAATAAGGATTTACAAGACTGAAGAGACTCTTCTGTTTGATTCAGTGAATGACTGGATAGATATGGGTGGCTAAATTAAGGTTACCTCAAGCATATGGAAATTCTAATAGTTTTGTGTCCTTTTTCTGTAGAGATATAAAGTGTATATTGCTACAGTATCATATTAACTGGGATGTATGCATGTTGACCCTGTATCTCAAGTTTTGGTGTCAGGATAATAGTAAGGACTACATGAATAGATATTTAAATGAGAGACAGGCATCTCCAGCAGGTACACATAGTGTTGCTGTCTACAGAACAAGTTCACATCTATGGGGTGTTACAGATTATGGTTTATGATGATGTTGGCTTTAGGAAAAATGAAAATATGGTTCAGTTAAATTGACTCCTAACATACAGATTTTCCTCTTTTAGTTTTCCTATGTATAATGTTATTCCTTCAAAAGCAGTGTTCTTTCCTGTTAGGCTTGTATGGTGTTGCATATGATTGAACATAGTTAGTTTAGAGTCTTATTTTTTACTTTCTAATACTAAAATATTAATGTGTAAAATGAGACCAGACAAACAGTAGATTAAGTTCTACAAATAGAACTTCTATTGGTAGCTAGCCTTAAACAGGTACACAATGTGACTTGCATGCCTTTGTCTTGAGTGCAGCTTCCTTATCAGTGTTTTTTTCTTGTTTTAATTTATACCTATCACTGTCATGGTCTGTAAAAAAAAAAAGCAACATGAGATCTGTCTTTCTGCATTCCCTCCCCACCATTCGCAAACAGTGCTCCTATCCCTGCCTAGCAATGCTTGGCTAATGTCTGACTGTTTAAAGACAAGCGTACCACTTGCCGGAACCTTTGTCTAGTTTAGGTACTATGTGCTGTGATGAAATTTTGATCGTGAAATGTGATATGAAGTCATTGTCAGGAAGCCACATTGTCAGGAAGCCAAAATAAAGTAATTCATTTCATAGATGCAGTGTTGCTGCTAATAGTGTTCCAGGCAATTGTAAGTACAAAAGTCCCAAGATGATTCAATGAGGAAAGAAAAGGGGAGTGTTTTTTAAAGAGAAGGTGGGGTAAAGATTAAGGAGTGCACTGTTCCCTCTAAGCTGAGTTAGTATGAGCTAGCTCACAGTTTTTTAGCCTCCAGCTCATACATTTTTGTCTGAGCTCAGGAAGGACGGCTCCAGAGCAAACTAATGTATGCAGTAGCCAAATCGCTTGCTCACAACTTTAATGTCAGGAGCTCACAAAGTAGATTTTTTGCTCACAGGACTCCACAGCTTAGAGGGAACATTGAAGGAGTGTGAAGCATATATGCATTGAAATCAAAAGAACTGTATGGGAAGCATTTGTAGAATGAAGTTCATGATATTGCAGCATGCTGGGTTTAAAAAGTGATTTCAACAAATAATGCTGTTGATAAAATCTCACTTAGTGTGGTACAAGAACAGTACTCTGCATAATTCATTGATCACTTCTCAGAAAGTACCTATATTTTGTGGGGCAAAATTCCAAAGCAAGTGTCCTCATGAGTTTGAATTTCACTAAATGGTCACTGTATGCAGGGTTGCCAGGTCCCCCTGGCCACCGGTGAGGGATAGACAGTAATTCTTAAAATGTGGTATCTACTTGGCTAGGTTTGAGCTTTGGCTGCACAGGCACTTCCTGGTCTCCCCTTTGCCAAGTAAAAGTCTGTGTTAGGTGTGGAATTGTGTATTTTACATATACCAAATTTCCCATTTTATGGAACAGTATGAAAATCCATGTGCATATGGACATGGATTCATAGACATTTTAGGCTACTGCTTCCCTTCTAGGTAACTAGGATGGTCACTGGTAGATCTAATGTTTGCTCAGTGGCTGCTTCTGTTTTTATGGGATAGCCTACCTGAAGTTGTTAGGCTTTCACTTTGTTCAGATTCTGCAGTTTGTACAAAGTGGAATAATTCAGGAGGGCTTTTGACACTGCCACCTAATTTTTAATCACACATGTTAGTTTTTAATGAATTTTTACCCTTATATTGTTTTTATTAGCTTTGTAATCCACCTTGAGTCTGGTTTTAGAGAGAGATGGGTTTAAAATGCTCTAAATAAATAAATTGATGGTGCAGGATTTATGGAAAGAAGAAAAACTGAGTCACTAATAAGAAGACGGAGGCAGTAAGTGATTTAGAAGGTTATAGAAGGTTACACAGCATATCTTGCAAAAGAAATAACATTAATTGAATGTTTAAGCTTTGGGGTCAGTGCCATCAAAGACATACGGAGAAGCTGGTAGTAATTGAGCTGTTCAGGAATTTGTTACTTTAATTCAGTGCAACTATCATGAGCAAGAAAAGTGGCAAAAGCCTCACTTCATTCAGAACTCTAGAATGAATGTTTACAACAGTTTGCACATACAATGACTAGCTTTTCTCAACAAAGGTCTTGTTTATGTTGGTTTTCTTTGTAGGTGATTTACTTGAAAAAAACTCCAGAAGAGGTTTACCGGATACTTCTATCTGGATCCAATCCACCGTATCTTCCATTTAGGTATGGCTGCAACCAAAATAATATGTTTAAAATTTCCAACTCTGTGATGCTGCCAGGTTCATGGCTAGTATTTGAATAGGTGATCTGCAAGGAATACCAGGGTCGTGACACAGAGGCAGGAAATGGAAAACCACCTATGAAATGTCTCTTGCCTTAAAAACAAGTCTAGCTCACCACCTAGTGGTGCATAACACTGAAAGAGCTAGAACTTGTGGCTGCCAGACAATCTTAGGCGCTCCTGGCTATTCTACATACAATGCCATGCAATTATTATTATTATTGTGCCTGCCTCTTTGACTACTTGTGTTCTCCCCCTGCCCAATCCACTAATGGCAGAGCTTCAAAGGGTTGTGTGTACTTTAGACTTTTCCTAACCTCTCCATTTCTGAAGCATGCCCCCCCCCCCAAAAAAAGATGCTGTTAAAGCCTGGAGGCTATGAGGTATCATGCAGTGCAGTGTGGCGCAAGGAAACCATCCCCATGTACCCAAACACTTCTGGCTTTTATGGATCTTGGCCTAGTGTATCCTGCGTCTTGATCACCTTACTTACCATTGACAAGACATGTAAATTAAGAACCTTTAGGCTTATGTTTCCTGCCACTGTTTCATTTGGTACATTGCTCTATATGGAATAAGTGTATCTGCATTCTTCTGTACAGCTAGTTTTAAAAGACCATGCTGTTTACACTTGTTTTATTCCTGTAATGAAGTAATAGTAAGAAGGTTACCTCATGTTGCCATTTCATTCACCCTGCTGAAGAGCTCTGGATAAAGCAGATGTGCCTGTAGTGCCAAGGAGCAGTGCAGTGTAACATTTCAGTTGTGCATCTCTTCTTTAGGAAGTCAGTAGATGTCTGCGCCAAGGGACACGGTTTTGTTCTATGCCAGGGCGGAGTTTGTTCATTAAGTGTATCAATCAGTAGCCACATATTCTGAAATCCTGAATTAATGCAACACCAAGTTATAAGTATTGCTAAAATTTCGGCTCCACACAATCCATCTTTAGGGCTGTCAGCAGGCATTGCTGTTGTTTGGGTCTTCCTTTTTCCCCTCTGCTTCATGACACAGGTGGCCCTGATGTGTTGTTTGAAGTCTCTGACATTGCATTCAAAACATTCTGTTTGTAGTTTGTATCTTTCATAGTATTATCACACACATAGAGGGTTACAGGGGTCCCAGTGCATCTCTGACTTAAATAGAAAGTTAATCTATTATATATATGCCCCATTTTCCTTCCACCCCACTCCCAACCTCGAAGTTTCAGCTTAAACTGGTCCTTTGCATTGCACAAAACTATAGTGATGTCAGTTTATCGTTTTTAACATCTCGTTCAATTTCAAGATGGTCTAGAAAGAATTAGGAGCATAGGGTTCTAAGAAGTCAACATGTTCATCTTTCCAGCTTTAATTAGAATGCCTAACTTTTAGTACACTACATTTTTAATGTGTTTTACTTTGTAAGCCATGTCAAGCATTTTTTTCTGGAGAGGCAGTGTAGAAATGTTCTAAATATGTAGGAGATAGAGCACCATAAACCATGAGGAAAGGTGGGATACTAATAATAAAGTTGCACATAAAAATCAAAATGTAGTGCAGATTGTAATATTGGATTATTTGACATGCTGTTTTAGTCTGTTAATTCTTCACCCTGGTTACTGGAAACTATAACCAGCTCTGATTTTTGAGGTTTCACTTTGCATTGTCAATACATTTGCATGCCTATCTTTGCTATTATATGGCAAAAAATCTGCTTTTTAAGTAAAGTTGCAGGCCTCTTTTGACTACTACTGAAAAAGCTCTGCTGGAGATAGTGGGATCTGCATGGACAAAGAAGCTCAGTGAGACAGCAAAGATGGGTGCAGAAGAGCAGTAAAGCTGCAAGATTCCATCCACTGAACCTTCTGTGCAATAACAATTTTTGTGTCTGTGTGGATCCGCAGAGTACCCACAAACCTTCATAATAAATGCCTCACTTTGGCTCAAAAATTATAATTGCATCAAAGAACATGCTAAACTTTGCCTAAGCTTCTCTATATAGGCTAGACTTTCTCTGCAACTAAGACATTAAGCAAATGTCCACCCTTAATGTTGTTTGTCTGTTACCAGGCAGGGGATTTTTATAGTTAAAGGCTGTAACTGTGTAGCCCTGCCTTTTCTGGGTTTATTGCATATTCATGTAAATCTTCACAGCTGTGGTCATCCATCCTGATCAAGGAGGAGCAACGTTGTATCATTTCAGAGCAATAGGCCAAAGCATTTTAGTAAACTGGAAGGTAATTGGTTCTTTCAGCCTATTGATGTGATGTGATACAAGTGAGCAGGACATTCAGAACAGACATAAGAAAGTACTCCATACAATCCTTAATTTGTGGAATTCTCTGCCAAGGGTTGTAGTGAGGGTCGCTAACATAGATGGCTTTTAAAGGGGGTTAGAGAATGTGATTTTTAATGAAGCCCATCAGTGGCTCTTGCCCATGATGGTTAAACAAGGCCTCCATGGTATATGTCTGAATGGCAGTTACTGGATGATAGCACTGTGGGATTTTTTTGAGAAGTTAACAAAATCTGATTTAGCGATGTTATCCGCTTCTACCTGAATTATAAAACTAAAACTGGGAATATCTGATAATTTCAGTAGAAGTTCCAGTTAGGTGCATTAAGCATTTTAGCCATACAGTTCATTCATGTTTAGTCAGAATCAAGGCCCACTGTGTTTTTAATATGTCTTCCACTGTTTGCATGGTTAAGTACTTCACATAAAGTCACTTTCTGCATTATGCCATAAACATAAAAAAAAACCCCGCTCACTCTCTAAAAATACTTGAGTCCCAGGAAAGGTGTCGGTGGGCACCATGGTGCCCAAGGGGGCCACCAGTGTAGGGACCCCTGCCTTACAACAACAACTTTGCATCTAGTTCCTGGAAGAGTAGGAAACAGTGCTGGCTTAGCTGTGTAAGGCTGCCATATCTTGATGATCCTTTTAGCTAGTATAGACTTGCTGCTGATTCAGAGCGTTTGGCAGGATGTCACGGATCAAAGCTTTGTCAGCACAGAGCTATTTGTAATCACCTGGAGCTTAGACAGCAGCCAGAAATGTATCCTGACCTGCTGGCTTCAAATATTGATGTTGCTCCTGTTTTAAAGAATAGCAAGGTATGTTGAGGCCAGCATAACTCTATACGCTTGTTTCGTGGGACTCTTACGTAGAACACAGGCTCCATTCAGTTGGCGCAAACAAATGGAGGTTTGTTCATGATGGTGCAAACCTGGCTAGTTGTCATTCTCATCCACTCCCTCCTTTGTGCCTGGGACATGATTGAAGGTTTCCTGGTTTAATTTAGAATCCTGCTTTGTGGAGGGAAGAAACAAACTCACAATTTTCCAGGCACATACATTCAAATGTCACTGCAGATTTAGTGCTTGATTGAGGGCTTCCGAAAGCAGGAAGCCTCCAGTCATGCTCTGTGTGTGACAGAATGGAGCACAAAAATACAGCAAGCCAGCCAGATTCATACCTGTCATGATCAAGCCTCTTTGACATCTGAATACAGCCATAGCAACTCCGGTGTGTGCTCTTAACTAGTGACTAGCTTTCTAGCAGTGCAATCCTAAACAGAGCTATACCCTTCTAAGCCCATTGACTTTAATAGATTTAGAAAGGTGTAACTCCACTTATGATCGCTATTTGTGAAATCACAATCACAGCCTTTTTACTTCTGCAGCCTGATCATTTGGAATGCACTTCTAAAACCTAGTCTTCCCTGGGGGGTTGGGGGGGCTTAGTAATGACCCATTTGTTTTTATTTTGACATTCTCTATTGCAAACAGTTAGGCTGTCTTATTTTCCACTTAGAATTGTACCTGGGAAGAGCCTGGGAAAAGGTCTTAGACTTGAATAATCTCTTCATCCAGCAGAAATGAACTGGGATATCCCATGGTGAATTAAATGTAAGAGTCTCTTCCCCTTGTCTGAATAGAAGATGTGGGAGAGAGAACTGAGAAAAGATGCACATATTTGAAGGGTTTCTCTCATATTTGAAGGGTCAGTGGTTGTTGCTCTGAATTCTAGCTGATGTATTTTTAAAAAACAGCTATCAGGAAAGGTGGTAATCTCTTTAAATGTTTATATTTACCAGCATTACTCTAGGGAATCAGTGCCAGTATAGGGAGTTGTTGTGGAGAGGGCTGGTGTGTGTTTGTAGACTGCATTTATGATTTTAGATAAATTGTTACAGTAATATTTAATGACAGAATGATTGTATGAATAACTTTTTAAAAGGATACTCAATATATAATGTATTGTTATCTCAGTGACCTGGAAAATCTTAATCGGTTTAAACCTTCAGCCATCATTTCAATAAAGGACTGTGGGTGCGAACTGCTGCTGAAATACCTGTGTACAGCTTGATCAGATACATATACTGTGCAGCCAACACCAGGCCTCCATGTGCAGTGGAGCAGGGGACAGGGTTGTGCCGGCTGAAGAGATTAATGCTGCATTGAGGGCACTTGCATTATGTTCTTAGTCCAATCTTTTTATCACAGCCAGGCACTCTGCCTTCCAGAAGGATCTGTTACAGTAGACAATGGCTACATTTTTCAAAACAAATAGTAATACCTATTTAATTTTCTTCTTGTAGAATTTTTGTATCTCTCCTTATATATAATTGAATAGTGGGTGCCAAAGTTCTAATTCTAAAATGCACTCCCTTAGTGTATGGCTGATGGCACTGCTCCTCAGCATATATCGCCACCAATCAGAAGGCAAAGCCCGGGTCCCACCCACACCACAACTGCTGCGACAACCTGGTCTTTTGCATATGGAAGCTGATTGGACTTCAGTCCATTCCACACCTCAAACTCCCCCCCCCCCGCAAGGCAGATGGAATTTTCAGTTGCATAACATACCTCATAGGGGAGAGGAGAATGGGTAACAATGGTTACCACTCTCCAGGTGAGGGCTACAGATAACTCAAACATACAAATGCTCTTCAGGTAGC